AATTCTTTTGTTAAGTTCCTCCAACATGGCCGCCGTGAAAACCATCAATAGAGATTTATTCATTATTACTGATTTGCTCTTTTATTTGTATTCCTTCTAGGCATTCTCTTCATGTGATACTAGATGAGATTTATACTTTGTCTATATTCAAGGAGGGACATTCTATGAAAAGTATCTTGAGTTTTACCAAGTAAGTGTCAAAAATTGTCAGTTATGCCAAATAACCAACAAACTCACTAACCAGCCCCCTCCCCTCCCCCCTGAAACAGGGTTCCCGGGGGTCAGGGAAAAGTCAGGGAATTTTTTATTTAGTCAGGGAAATTGTGATTTTCACCTAAAGTCAGGGAATTTTGTTTAAAGTTAACCATGAGTATCTGTGTGATACTCATACTGTTTGCAATTTTCGAATAGACTGATATTTCTTTCCAAAAAATGAAAAAAATGTTGAAGTATTTAGTATCATTTATGCTGGACAGTTTAATTATGTTGGGTATCCTATGTAACAGGATAAGAGCGGGGCGTAGGTAAAAGTTAGGCATGTGGCCCATGCTCGCCCATGCGGCTCAACAAGGTCAGTGAAAACTGGTATTTAGTCAGGGAAATGTCAGGGATATTTTCAAAAAGGCTGGGAACCCTGTTAAAGTTATAGTTTTACTAAGCCTGTGGATATAGCGAGAAACTCTTAAGATGAAAAGTATATGCGTGTGTTATGGCGGGAAAATGGTACATGCCCGGCCCCACTATGACCGAGGCCTTGTTACGCTCCTGTAACTAACCAACCATCCGTCCAGCCATCCATTAACTTCTTAAATACTGACATTGATTTCTATACTCTGACTTCAGTATACCAGATAGACAACGTCTTCACGTGGTATGGGGGTTCAGTAAGGTAAGCACCATGCTGACCACAGTTTTTCTTTCGCAACTCTTATGTATCGGCTTGTTCTGCTACACAGCCCACGGGAGGCTTGCGATAAGCGTTACATATTTGAGTAAAGGGCGGTAAATCCTGGTTCTCACCAGCGACGCTATTATCACCACAAGTACAAGCCAACGGAAAAAATCTTTTGTTGTCTTGCGCTTGCGTCGCTTCTTTTCAAAGTAAGAACATGGAGTTGCGCCTGCTTACGTCGCTAGTGGGAACCAGGCTTCAGGTTGTTGTGTATGGGAGAAAGACACTCAATGTTAGGAAGATCGCGTTGTCTTCAGGGAAGTCTTTCTCAGCAGCACCTGTAAATAAGTTACAAGTGGTTTCCTAATGAGAAGATGGATAAAAATTACTTGAATCAGTGTTCACCACATCGTCGTGTTCCTACTTCTGTTTACGGTTTCATTTGAAACATTACGTCACGGTGCGGAATTGACGACATCCTTTGAATACGTGCAGTCACAGTGAATGCGTGACATTTTTGCTCTACCAATCAAAATGCTCCTACACTGCGCCATCACGGTCAGGGTACAGCAAGTCTGTACAGTGACGTTTTTATATTAATAAGGAGTGTGCTTGCTATAGAGCGGCTTTCGTTTGACTGTGAAAAGCTCGCGGCACGAACGCTGTCGTGACATGGCAAGGCATATGCCAGACCAGTCACGTTGCGTGAGAATTTACTCTCCATCCAATCAAATACCTGGAACATGGCATGAACACGGCACGGACACTGTCACGCCAAGGTACTGGCACCGCCAGTCCAATCACATTAAGCGAGAAAATAATCAGCCAATTAAAATTCTGGAAAACATCACGGTCACGGTAAGGCACGCATACAGCACCGAGAGTTTTACATTCATGCGTGACTATTCATTATTTCTCATATTATTGTGTTCAGGATTTTGGCATATCTGGTTTTCGTTGTGGCGTGCTCCACACATGGAATAAACAAATACTAGATGCTCTCAAATGGGTGGCTTATTTCCAGTCCGTTCCCACCTCGATCCAGGTAAACGCGCCCTATCATTACCACAGCTATTCCAATCTTGAAATTAGCACTATCTGGCAAGCGTTATAGACCCCTTGCACTGACTCCCGAAAGGATTTGTTCTGGGGGACGAAATAATGGGATTTTTTTCTGCATATGAAAAGACGGCCTATTGTCGTCAGCATTGAGTGTGAGCACTGAGCATGCTATCTCTTCAATAAATAGGCTAGAAGAGATAACTAGCTAAAAACTAGTGTGAGCTGCGTCGGTGTTTCTAATGAAACAGTAATGATAAAAAGGTAAATTATACACCGTGAAAAGATGAAAAAACTTACTCAATGGGATTAATGAACGCTTTGCTTTTAAATAACCTACTCTTTTGTCTTTTGATTATTTCTTTCGTTTCCTTGCCCACCTTGTTCTCATTGGAAACACAGGAAACGCATCGGTCAATAAGCGAAAGGTCAGGCAAAATATAAATTAGCTGCTAAATAAATTTTGAAGCTGTGCATTCTTTACTTTACCGTTGGTATTTGTGCATAGTTAAACACTAATACGAGGCTAACCATGAGTAAATGAGTCTGCAATCAAGGAACACAGCGGTTATTTGAAACTCGAAACTGGTCTATGTAAGAGTTAGTTACCGAGAACGGAGGTAATAAGCCATATACATCCCGAGGGCCGCAGGCCCGAGGGATGTATATGGCTTATTGCCGACATTCGAGGTAACTAACTATTTTAGTTATCAATTAAGAAGGTTTTCTATAATATTCTGATGTTAGACTTTTAAGATAATGAAA